CGAAACTGCCACAGTCCCTGTCCAATCGTGAACGGCGATTTGGGTTTAGCCTCCGGCGCCAGCTCCACCTGCCAATGTCCACTGCGTAGATCCAAGGAGCTGAACCAGCACGATCCAGCTACATGATCTAATGCGTCGTCAATGCGGGGCAGGGGGTACGAGTCTTTGCGCGTCAAAGCATTAAGCCTCTGGTAATCCACACAGGGTCGCCATCCACCCCCCTTCTTCTTCACCATGACAACGGGCGCAGCCCAGGGGCTCTCTGATGGCTCATTGACCCCGTTAGCTGCCATGTCTCTGATTAATTATTCTGCTGCTTGGCGTTTGGCTAATGGCAGGCAATGAGGGCGGAGCCGTATAGGAGCGGCGTCTCCTGTGTCGATGCAGTGTTGGACCAAGCTAGTCCGGGTGCAATCCTCTTCTCGAGCAGCAAAGATGTCCCCAAACTATCTCAGTAATTGGCCCAACTGCTCTCGTTGCTCCGAGCTGAGGTGTTCCCCCCTGCATTGTTCCAACGCCTCCATAGCAAGCATGGCCTCAGGTGACGGGGCCACAGTAGCAGGAACCGGCTTCTGTCCAACCTCCTGGCTTTCCCAGTCGTCTTCGAGTGACTGGGTGACTCTGGCTCCTCGTCGCTTCTCATGAGGGTCCCTCCCCTCCTGGAGAGGAATCCTCTCGGCATCTAGGCACAAAGCAGTTCCTCGGACATCAACACATGCGCCCCAGCGCGTTAATAAATCCTGTCCAGTGATGCAATCATCTCGAATGGCAGCGATCCAGAACTCCTGCTCATCTCAATGAGTTCCGACCACCACCGATAACAGTCCCTTTCCTGTCATTGTGGTCTTTTCACCAGTCACGGTCAGCAATGCAGTTTCGGTGGGACTCCAGCCTACTGGGAGGGAACCCTCAGTCTCTGGCAGGAATCCCTTCTGGACCAGACAGATGGTGGACCCCGTGTGGACCCCGTATCCACCAAGGCTCTGCACTGTTGTTCTCCGACAACACAGTCCAAATATAGCCCATGAAGCGACCCATGAAGCGGCCAACGGATCGCAGGTTAACTCCAAGGGGTGACGTTGCGCGAGGTGGGAGTCCCCTTACTGTCCCACCCCGCTGGCATTTCCCACAGCTTGTGGCCTCCACGGCCCGGACCTGGGCCGAGGACTTGGGGCTGGGCAGTCTCTGGCTAGATGTCCCGATTCCCCACAGCGGTAGCAGAGGCCGGTGGCTGGTCTCTGTCTTGGGGTCTGCTCCGGCCGGGCCTGGTTGACTTCTCTCCTCTCCTCCAGCGCCTCCTCTTGTTCAGCCACTCTCACCAGCGGCGATCGCCCACACTGTCCAACAGGCATCACCTCCTCCGCTTGTTCAGCTCTCCTAAGTGCTACAGCCAAGGTGATGGGGAAGCACAATCTGATGTGTAGACGTAATGGTTCCGGTGTTAGCCCTCGTAGGAATGCGTGCAGGCTTAACTCCTCTCTGGCGGCAGCCGGGAAATCAGGATAGCCCCGCCGTGCATACAGTTGTAGATCAGCCGCATAAGCTCCCAAGCTTTCTCCGTGGCGGCGTCGTCTGCCGCTCAGTTGTTCTCGGCTTTGCTCTCCTGAGGCTTGCTTCCCAAAGTGTCTGTTTAGTGCAGCCGTGATAGCTTGCCAATCGCGTCACTCTTCCAATGCTAGGTCCACCAGGACCTGAAGTGCTCCTCCTTCCAAGGCCAGCGCCACCTGAACCGCTGTCTCCTGTTGGCTCCATCCTTCATGTAAAGCCGCCAGCTCTACTTGAGCGAGGAAGGGTGCAAGGGGTGTGGCGCCGCTGAATCTTGGGAGTTTTACCGGCATTCGATTGCCGCTGTCTCTCCGCGCCGTTGGTGCCGGGATTGTGGGCGCTTCCACTGAGCGCATCTCTCGCGGGTGCCGGGCTAACCGTGGATCGCTGGTTCCATCCGGCTGGCGGGGTGTCCTCGCTCTAGTGCCCAGCCGTAGTTGATCTTCCAGCTTGCTGTTCTCTCTGTCAAGCCGCTCGATCTCCTTGACGAGTCGCTGCATCTTTTCTCTTTCTTGACAACGCTAATCCCACTTCTGACAGCAATGTAGCGGTCTGCGCCACTCTCTAGCAGAGTGTGTGTAAAGCAGCAAAGAAGAGTCAACAGGTAGCAGACATAGAACACTTAATAGCCGGATGGCTCCCCTTTCCCTCCCCCCACACATACATTTAACTCACGGTGCCAACAGGCACCAGATGAGAACAACATAGCGTGAAATCCAAACTGAAACAAACATCACTAACATAACCCCGAACAAAATAACCCTCAGAACACCACAAACTGAATAAGCAATCCCAATTTACCCTCCCCCAGAGTACAATGCGGCCTTGCCAGCCTATCAGTGGCAGGGCCGCCACAATAATAACTGATGCCACAAACTAGAACTATGTAATGTTTCAAACTACACCTTTAAAGCTGAATAATGTTGATCTGGTGATGAAACAATGCATGTTTATTTTTATTTCTTTAGCAGATAAATTTAGCTGATTACAAATGTGGGCATACAGTAATAATATTGTTAAATAACCTAATGTGGGTGTTTTTGCCTTGTTGAACTAAACCGGAGTACCTGGAGAAAATGATGAGAAAATGCTAACTCCATGGCAGAAAGGCCACAGTTGGTTTTGAACCAGCAACCTTCCGCTTGCAAGGCAACAGCTGCACCACCATGCAGATGTAAAAGGCTATCGGTTCCTAGTTCAAAATGTTATCTACTTATTAAGTATATCGACAAAACTAATAAATACCAGTACTGAGGCTGCATGATGGTGCATGCTCACTGCCTTTATGCCCACCAACTGTGTTTTGGCAAAAGCTTCAGTTTCCAGGCACAATAGTGCTGGCCTGACCAGCCAGCCCCATTGGGTCTGGGAACTCTTCTATTCAAATAGCCCCACCCCCTGAGAAGAGGAGTTCACTGCGGCTCTTTCCTCTCGTCTAAATGACTTGAAAATGTCTTTAAACCCACAAGAAGACCTGCTAAAAGCCTTTCTTCTAAAGAAAGATGTATGCGCCGTTGCCAGATGCCATTTTGGACTACAACTACAAAACTACAGCATCGTGCGGTACAGTCAGCATGTCCGCCTTTTTTCTGATTGGTTGTTTTTGAGTTGGCTAGTCCCGCCCATCATGTGCCTCTCTGACTGTGAGTATCTAGACTAGTCCTCTATGTAGAATTAAACAAAGGACAGTCTGGCAGGCCTTGTGGTACCTTTCAATCCTCCTACAGGACCATGAACTCCTCTAAATGCAAAACGTCCAGAATCAGCTGTGGAACTGATTAAAGATTCATCACAAAGCAAGATGATGATCCCAAACATTTGAAAGCTTTTTCAGTACAACTTAAATAAAATATTTAAGGTGCATAGTGAGCCACTCAAATTGCTGATCACTTTGGTGCTTTTTGATACTGCAGCAGTTGCTTGGGGGTGGGAGCTTGTGTGGAACCACGAGTGAGGTAGTCTGTGTCCCTGACCTGCCTCTTGGGTCTTATTAAAGGTCTGGTGTCATTCTTGTTTCCAATCCACAAGCTGTAACTGTATTAAACATATGTGCTGTAAAGGACCCACTAAACTAAAACTGTAAAAAAAACATGGATGAAAATAAAACTTTTCACAATCAATGATTACTTCAAGGCAGTATCCACCCAGCTTTAGGGTATTACAACGTAAGCGTCCACTTCAAGCTGCTTTCTGGAGTTTTCCTCTTTCAGAAATGATGTATGATTTTTCTGAAATCTGTAAAAGCGATTGTCTCATCATGTACTGTGATAAAATGTAAGCAATACGCCTTTTTTTTTTTTTTTGCTAAGCACGCCCCCTGCCCCGCAGAACTCCGTGCAATAGGAAACTGAGCACCAACCAGAACTAACCAATAGCGTTAGACTGCCGCTTACTTGTTTCAAATTTAAGGAATACCTCGGCTGATGCAGAGTTGATGAACTGTTCACGGACAAGAAAGTCTCTAAAATATAAATATATGAAAAAAACAACATGACATGAGAATAATACTCGTAAAACAATGTGTTTTAACTCTGTTTGTTGGCTACAGAAGCACATTTATAAACAGAAACGTGAAGTCGCCATCTTAAACAAACAGAAAAAACAGCTTTTTGTGTGATATGCTTGTCAGCCATGTAGCAGAGGCAAATTTGATGATTTTATCTTTTATGAACAGGAAGATGTAATTCTATGTAAATATAAAATATTAACCTGCTAGGTTCTTTATTGTAATTAATCAGAAGATTCTAGGATTTAATTCATAAGATCTAAGTTCTTTGCTTTTTCAGTGATCAACCACACTTTGTGTTACTTCAAGAAATGGTAATTGGTAAATGGCCTGTACTTGATATAGTGCCTTCTAGAGTGTAGCATCACGCAAGGTCCTCTAATTTGTGGCAAAGGTCACATTTACCCAGCTGGGTCAAACAGTACTTTTAAATCCACAGATTAACCAAGGAGCCATGATGTCTGGAAGAATATATCACCTATCGGCTGCTCTTCCGTCCCAGGAGGAGGACACTTCAAGTTCACGATGATAATAATTAGATAATTAATAAAACTCATTGTTTTTATTACTGTTTATTATAATCATCATAAATGATCACTTGGTTCAGTATAAATGTATTTTAATTACATGAAATGAATTATTATTGCAACACTCTCTCAGAATTACTTGTGACTCGATTTCAGATTTACCTCACTAAAGTAATTATACTCAAAAAGGGTTCGGACCAGTAGGTTCGGCTACTCACAGAAGAGGTGAAAAAGGAATGAGACTCAGGACAGTACTTCCAATATTTTAGAAATGCCAGCTGGACAAATTTAATGAAGCAAATTTAAAAGAAAAATTAAATAAAACTATTTCGGTCCGAAATATGTCTTTTCCTTTGATACCAACAATTTCGGAGTGGCAATATCTTTTCACAATCGCAACAATTGTTTTTTTTTTTTTTCTCTGGGTGCACCCTTTTTAGTAACTCAATCTTTCAGATTGGATCAGTACCAGTTCAACATACAATGTCTGTCTGACAGGGTAAAATTTTCAGCTTCCTGCAACAAAACCTCAACTTTTGTTGGAATGGCTCCGACCTGAAACACACCAAATCAGTCCTCGTGTAACGATGTGGATAGTCCAAAACAAAAAGAAAATAGTCCTAAATAATAAGGCGGGATGTCCAAGAGTCCAAGGGAATATGTAGGTGTACGTAAAAGATGCAAGGAGAGGGAATTGGCGTGGTGGGATCCCTTTGGTTTTTTTCTTTTTTTTTTCACTCCTACCACACTCCACCGTGCAGCAAGGATGGAGGAAGTCGCTGCTGATCTGGTTCATCCACGGGACTGGCTCGCCATCAACATCAGAATGTTCATATGTCACAAAAAACCTGACCTGTCAACGACAGCGTCAATGAACAAAATGAATTGTTGACTACAATTCAATTCACAGTCTGTTCACACATACCAGTGCTTCCTGTAACATTAACCATGTTTACTATAAACAGAATTGGTGAAATGAACATTTTTTTTTACATTTCTTTCTAATGTTTCTTCAGTTTTCCTTTAAAACAAACAGTCACATTTGTAATCAATTTCTTAAAAAAAACAACAAAAGTTTCAGAATAATAAAATACAATTTCTTTCCATACAGAACTTCAACACTTGCTTGTAGTAACCATTACTCTTAGTAAACCTATAAAAAGTGCAAATAACCTTTAACAGATGGAATGAGTAGCTCACCGATTCCACGAATGGGCAGCACAACAGCATAAAATGGCGCCGCCTCTAAGCTCTGGCCTTCTACAACTAGAAGTGTAAAAAGAACCGAAACTAATAAATATCTTTTAACCTATGGCTCTTTAGGAGTAAACATGCATAAAATTATGTTTAACATTCGCAAAGACATCTAACACTTCATTTTGTACCTCTTTTTTTTTCCGAAACGCCGTGCCTACTTTCTCCGCTGGTGTTCTGATCGTGTTCTGCAGCCGAAAAGAACTAACGAGGGCCTGCAGTCCGAGACAGAGAAGATGGGCGGGACATGCAGCATTTAGCCGCAGCTCATTGGCTGAGAGTGATGCCTTCAGCTCACCCGGGATTTAACCCTTTTTACACTAGAACCGTGGGTTATTAAATTAAACTAAACGTAGCTCTTAAGCTAATAACTTATTTCTTGTTTTTAAAGATTAAAATAAAATGTAGCTGCTTCTTTTATTGTTTTAAGAGACTGAACTCTAAAATATCTCAGGCACATTTATATGTGGGTTACATTATGCTTTGGGTATAATATTGATTAAGTATGATTATGGTTGATGACAATAAAAGATGTGTTCAGCAAAGAAGGTCAGTTTCACCTTATCCATCTAACACAGAGTCCAGATAAACAATAACTGCAACACATGTTTTTGATGTATGACCAAGTGTTCTTGCTGAGAGAGTGGGAGTGTCCTGAGAGCTTTGTAAACTAACTATCACCAACTTCAGTTCAGTTCTTGAACCAACATCACTGAGGAAGGGAATGGCCGTCCCTATAACCTCTGCCAAGCTGTTCTGTCACGCCGACAAGAAAAGCGAAGAATAAACGAAACTGTAACCAGCTGACGAAAAACTCCTGAGAGAGTAATTGATTTCTGAGTTAAGTTAAGGTGAGAAACTTCCATCCAGCCAAACGCTCGACACTGTGAACCCGGGACATCTCTGGACCAGAGGATCGGACACTCGTGTCTTCCCTGCCGGACCGAGTGTCGTCTTGGATGGACACCATCCTCCTGATCTCCGGATCCACAAGAGGGTCTCATCTGTTGGGTGAGGTAGAACACAGGAATGCGTTTGATGCTGTTTTCTCTAAGTGAAAGACTAAGTTAGCTGCAAAGCATCATTTTCATCCAGAACGCTTTCTCTCTCTCTGAAAGAAATCTTCTAATAATTCCATTCACGCATCCAAACTAGTATTTCCAATTTAGTTTCCATCCAGCCACAGGTTTGTCCTTTTAAAACAAGTTTAATATCAAAGCTGTTAAAATTTGTCATTAAATTGTCATCCATGAATTGTCGTTTATAATTGCCGTTTCAAATCTTTAAGTTTAAAATTGTTAGTTATAAAATTTCTTCATTTTTAAACTTGCCTCATTATTGAAGCGAAACACAGAAAAGGTATAATTATTTCTGGTTGTTGAAAAGCAAAGATTCCTAGCTTCTGATTCAAAAATAAACTTTTGCTATGAAATTTAACTATTTAAATTAAACATTAATCTTTGGATTAAAATTAGACCAAACAGGTTGGTGTATGAACTTAGATCGATTATATAATTACCCTGGATCTTTATACACGATCTAAGCCTCATAGGTTAATCGGATTGGTCATTCTCAGAATCGCCAGCTGAATAGCAACAGTGTTGATTCTAGTGTGTAGTTAAACTCTACAAGAGTCATGGAACCCCCCCAAGGCGCTTTACAACACAATCAGTCATTCACCCATTCACACACACATTCACACACTGGTGGGGATGAGCTACGATGTAGCCACAGCTGCCCTGGGGCGCACTGACACAGGCGAGGCTGCCGAGCACTGGCGCCACCGGTCCCTCCGACCACCACCAGCAGGGAACGTGGGTTACGTGTCTTGCCCAAGGACACAATGACAGCGACACTGAGCGGGACTCAAACCTGCAACCTTCTGATTATGGGGCAAGCACTTAACTCCTGTGTCACCGATTCAAGATTCAAGTTTATAAAAGTAAGAATTTATTTTACAAACAATTTAAAACATGACTAATTAATTAAACATTTACTGTGAGTGGATGTAACTAAATGTGAGGAAGAAACCTATGTGTGAATGAAATGTCAGTCAGAGCTTCCTTATCAAAATAAGCTGAGTTCTGGTGAAAATAATTTGGTTTGCTCTAAACTTTAACCCTTTGATGCATAATGGTCACTACAATGGACAGATACTCAAAATGGTTATTTATTTGTTTTTGCTATTAAGCACAGCTGTTGAAGACTTTATTGCATTTGAGCCCCTCGTTTTGGACTTCAGTAAGCCAAGTCAACATATTTCATGCTCAGAATGCACGCTGCCCACTGAGGTGGACATGTAATAAATTATTTGTAAATTATAAAATTTTACAAAAAATATTTGTTGAAATTTGTTTCATTCACACCTAAAGATGAAAGAAAAAAATGTTAAAAAAATCATAGTTGAAGATTTCATAATTCATGCATCAGAGGGATAAAGTTGTTATCATCAGAAGAACATTCAGAAGCAATCCGTCATGTCTACTTTACCCGTTTTTGAGAGACCCTCTTGGTGGATCCGAAAGTCACAGGGGTCGGCTGACCGCTGGCACCGGAGGGCTGTAGAATACCGTGGTACCGACTCTTCAGTCCAGATATGTCTCGGGTCACAACAGCTGGAGGGAACCGTGCGTCTGGCAGACTCTTAAGGAGTCTAATGATATCAGCTTTGTTTATGCAGGAACTGTTTGCTCATCAGCTTTGCAGGTGCAAAAAGGTTTTGACGACATGTCAAAATCTTTGGTGGTTAAAGAGGTTTAGTTACAGATGGCCGGTCTGAGCGATTCTCTAGAACTGTTGAATCTCTCAGAATGCTCCAGTTTTAAGGTTAAGCTGCTATTATTTGGACAGCCAATCAGAGGCTGACAGGTTTGAGAGATGTTACCAAGACAACTCAGAAACACACCTTCTTGATACAGGATGTTCTGACTGGGTTAATACCATGTGTGTCAGGGTTTAACTTAGCCGTCCTTGTTATTGTGTGAATGCAGGTGTGGAACCTTGTCGTCAAAACACAGTGAACACATTGCAGGTTTTAGTAGACAACATGATTTAACATCCATTCAGTGTGCACAGATTAATGAAGCATTTCATTATACTATAATTATTATAAGTAGTAATAAACAAATGTTTATTTAATAATTATCTAGACTATAAGTCATAGAAGAAGTTCATGTTGATTTATTAAATCATTCTTGAATTTAGCAACTGATTCGAGCTGGAGTTCTTCTGTGGAGGCAGACAGATGAGACCTTGGGAAAGAAAGTTATTGTTTATCTTTCAGGCTAGCAGAGTCTGAATCCCAGCTGGTGTGAAGGCAGACTCATTTTAAAAGGAACACACATGTAATGTTGTGTCTCCTTTTTGACCAGATGTTGAGTAGATGGTGAAAGGTCAGCCTGTACCTAAACTGACCATTGCTGGACACTACAGCCACTAGATGGTGCCATCAGATAAAATAAATACTCCGGAAAGAAGCTTTCATGGAGTATGACACATACATGTGTTAGGAAGGAGTCTGGAAAGTACTACTATGTATTGGTAGTATTTTGTGCTTCCTGTGAAGTTGTCTGTATGTCCGCAAAGTTTTGACATCCTCATGGGTCATGACAAACCTCTTGTAGGGTTAACTTCATACTAGAATCAGCACTGTCAGTTGTTAGATTCTGAGAATGACCGAGCATATTAGCATATGAGCTTATATCATGTATAAATATCCACGATTCTTATATAATCAATAGAAGCGCATACACCAATTCGCTTGGTCTACTTTTAATCCAAAGATTAATGTTTAACTTAAGATAATTAAATTTAATAGCAAAAGTGTATTTTGAATCAGAAGCTAGGAATCTTTGCTTTTCAAAAACCGGAAATAATTATACATTTCTGTGTTTCATTTCAAAGAATGAGGCAAGTTTAAAAAATGAAGAATTGTAACAATTGTAACAATTTTTTAATTTTAAGATTTGAACAACAATTATAAATACAATTCATGGATGACAATTTAATGACAATTTTTAACAGCTTTGATATTAAACTTGTTTTAAAAGGCAAACCTGTGGCTGGATGAAAGCTAAATTGAAAATACGAGTTTGGATGCGTGAGTGGAATTCTCAGAAGATTTCTTTCAGAGAGAGGAACGCGTTCTGAGCTGGAAATGATGTTTTGCAGCTACCTGAGTTGTTTACTTAGAGAACAGCATCAAACACAATCTGTCAAAGTCTACCTCGCCCAATCAGAAGACCCCCTTTTGGATCCGAAGTGTACAGGTGGAGATGATTCCTCCAGGCATGAGGTTGGTAGAAAAACGTCTGGCACGACCAAATCGGTCCTGAGATGTCTCCTTGGGTCACTCGACTGGTGGAATTATTTGCGTCTCCAAGTCCATGCTCTGAAGGAGTTTCTCGTCTTAACTTAACTCAGAAATCAATAACTTCTGGAAGGAGTTTTTCGTCAGCTGGTTACAGTTTACGTTTATTCTTAGCTATTCTTGTCAGCGTGACAGAACAGCTTGGCAGAGGATCCGGGCGGCCGACCCGTCTCCTCGATGGTGTTGGTTCAAGAACTGATGTGAAAGCTGTTGCAGGCTAGTTTACAAAGCTCTCAGAACACACCCACTCTCAGCAAGAAAGCTTTGGTCACGTGTCAAAAACATGTGTTGGCAGTTATTGTTTACTCTGGATAAACTGTGTTAGATGGATAAGGTGGAGCTGACCTTCTGATTTGCTGAACAGACATTCCTGTCATCAACCATAACCATAGTAATCATTATTATACCCAACGCATAATAATTCATTTCATGTAATTAAAATACATTTATACTGAACCAAGTGATTATTTATGATGATTGTAATAAACAGTAATAAAGTCAAAGAGCTTTATTAATATTATTATTTAATTATTATCATGAACTTGAAGTGTCCTTCTTCTGGGACAGAACAGCAGCAGATAAGATGGTTCTTTAGCAGACATCATGGCTCCTTGGTTAATCTGTGGACTTGAAAGTTACTGTTTGACCCAGCTGGGTAAATGTGGCCTTTGCCACAAATTAGAGAACCTTCCGTAATGCTACACTCTCGTTTTTGGAAATTTTCTGCATGGTGCCCCAATTTGCATTAAAATGTCTGACGAGTGACGACTGAGTCTTTTTCATCACAATTGAAAATCCTACAAGATATTTTATGTTCGCCTGAAAAACTTCCTACAAAAAAGTGAGAAAGCATCTCAGTTTGTCAGCCATTTGTTTAATGCTGTTGTATTCAGAGGTTTTAAAACTTGAAGTGCTTATGAGACTAGCACACTTTCATCAGGTTGTCATTGGCCTCGGGACAGAAATCTACCATCCTGACACAGCATGATTTGTTTCAGAAAACATTTGACACTTGGTGAGATTCTGTGTCTTTAGACCTCTGTTGGCTTTGCTTTAAATTGCTTTTTGTGAGACAAGCCCTAAGCTCCATTACCCTCGGTAG